CTAGTTCCTTTAGTTCGTCATTTACGACCTTCCGGGCACCGCTACCAGACGGTGTTGGTGGAGGTGAGCGTGAATTCCGCCGCTGTGATAGCTGCGAATAGACAGGATTTTGCATACGTCCGAATTGACGACCAGGTCTACGTGCCGGAGGACACGTAGGCGTCTTGGAATTGGCAACAGCTGCTAGACCCTGCATCGCAGAGGTCATATCCAAGGATCGCAGCGAGTCAGGTACCGTAGAGGCTCGATGATCGTAAAACTGGGAGGAAGACGAGAAAAGCTTTTCGTGATTAGAGGTATCGAGAGGCGAGCTGGTTAATGTGGCGGCAGTAAGGAGCGTCTCCAAAGAGTCAAGAGTTGATGAGGATGGGGCGTTCTGCACATTTCCACGTCAGAGCCACGATAGATTCTCCTTTATAAAAAGCTCACCAGAACCGTTTTGCTGCTTTCAGTAGCCAATCCAGCGAGAGATGATCCAGAGATCGCTTCATTTAGATGAAGAGAATCGAGTCCTCTAATGATTGGAGAAAGTGGAGAGGATATCCGCGCCGCATTGTTTTCGGTAGGCGGGGAAGACATTCTATGTTGATTAGACGTGCGTTGAATATCCTGTTTTATTCGTGTTTAGGATGTAGGAATGAATGGAGAAAGCCAGGCGGTTTGATTACTCACCATAGATAGACCAGGAGAGAATGAGCCAGGAATACTCAGATCGTCTGTCAAGTGGAGCGAGTCTAAGCCATGTATCGCTTGAGAGAGAGGGGATTTGGGAGTGTCATCGCATTCGAGTGAAGTGCGCTGGGAAGGTGTTTTGATCACGTTCAAGAGGGTAGAAAACATGAAGAGCCTGCGATATTGCAGGAGCTTTGCAACGGTTAAGGATATATAAGCATCCGGAACAACAACTACTTGAAAGAGTTGTAAATATCTCTTTTGTTCTGTATCCGGTAGGTATTGTGACACATATGGCTTTTGTTGTCTGGTTACTAAGTGTGAGATGAAAATACAATGAACCGGACAGTGAATGAAACTGACCTGAAGAATCGCAATGAGCATCCGGAACAACAATTACTGGAAAGAGTTGCAACTATCTCTTTTGTTTTTGTTATGTATCCGGTAGGTATTGTAACGCATATGGCTTTTGTTATATGGGTTACTGTTAAGACGAGAGAATACATGTGAGATACTGACCTAAAGAATCGTCGAGCTTCTAAAGGTGAGCCGTGAACGTCTGTTAGCTTCCCCGAAGGTACTAGTCCCTTGAGCCACGTAGAGGCCAGACGCCAGGCAAACCATGAGTATGGTAGCCTTTGTTCAAGGGAGGGTGAGAGCAAATGGGCGGAGTGTAAGAGATGCGAAAAAGAGCAAATGGGCGGAATGTAAAAATGGGCGGAACGTAAGAGAGACGAGGAAGATTCGAAACGAGATAGTGAGGGGATGTTTAGAACCAAATGAAGTTGAGCAAAATTCTGCAATAGGAGCTCGTTAATTCAAGCCAGACGAGAAGAGATTGAGCGCACTGTATTTTCCATCCTGTAAACGAGACCCTACACCATATTTCCTTACTTCATTACTTTGTTACTCCCATCGACTTATCTTGAATTCAATGTATTTCTTGCTCCATTCTTGCTATATCTTGAACCTTGGCCATCAGCGATGGAGTATTCTCGAATATCTTGTGTGTACATTAATTGCATCCAACAATGGTGGACGTCGAAGAGCAAGAGAGCAGAAGGTGTTTACATAATCACGCGGCCAACTTGGGAGCCGCGGGCGTCAAAGAATTCTGTAAATGGTTCAACCGCCGCCCACCGCTGAAAATTATTTGACGCCCGCGGCTCCTGTTTGCTCGCCTTCGCCTTAAGTTCAAGTCGAAATTGAAGAATTCTGTGAATGAAACCAAGGCGGGGCATGCAATTAGTTAACATAACATCTTGGTTATTGGTTACATATTAGTGAAATCGTATCTTCGCTCACAACTCCATGTTAAATACAACAATACAACAGATTGGTGTGCATTTATTGCATACCAATTCATAAACCATAAATCATATAATCATAAAATTCCAAATTGATGGGTGTTTAACGTGAAGGACATATGTGAACAAATTCATCCAATATCCCATTGCGTTCAAAGGGACGTACGGAGGTCCCTCGATGAATCGACAATTGGTGCATGAGAGTCAGTTCAGCATACGATAATTGGTACATGAGAGGAGCATTCAGTTCAGCGCTCCACCAGTGCCAGAAGCTGTCCCTTGCGTCTGCGTAGGGCCCGCCGAGGTGATCGAAATGATGGATACCGAGGGAGACTGCTGGAACTGCTGGAACTGCTCGGACTGCTCGGACAGCTGGGACTGCTGGGACATTCCACCAGTGGAGGACGGAGCTCGGGAGACCAATCTTGTAATCGCGTAGCGAAGGCAACGAAGTCTTCAAAGCATGAATCGAGATTCTCATCTCTGTCCACGTTCAAGAGCTCGATCATAGAGACACCACATGAGTATCGATCCACAGGTAAGGGGGCGTATGGGGCATCTCCCAGAACCTCAGGAGCCATGTAGCCCACGGTCCCGCACTGACCAGGTAGTACCATCCATTTGTGAGCATCCAAGATAGAGATATTGAAGTCGATAATTTTGAGTGTTAGCTTGGCACCGGGTCCGACGTCCACAACCAAGTTGTCGGGTTTAATGTCCATATGGGCAATGTCAAGTCGAGAATGGAGAAAGTGGACACCACATGAGAGCTGAGCACAGATTGATAAAGCCTGCCGCTTCAGGCAACCCCCCTTGGGCTTCCTTAATTCATCACCAACTGGAATGAAAAGAGGAAGTTGAAGATACTCTCCCGCTGACCAGGAGCCGACTGACCACTCAAGAATAAAGTGCGAGATGCCTCTGTATTCTTGGAGACGCTCATAGACCAAGAACTCCCCTTTGTCTGATGGTTTTGTCAAGGTTTTTCGAATGCAGCGCCGACCTGACTTGGATTCGACCAGATTGATACCAGGCTAAACAATTTGACATAAAACACACTGATATACACAAATTTATGTACGACGCACAGGAACAATTCTGGGATGACTACCTCCTGTCGTCGTCCTTGACCTCTTGGTGGGACGATCATCCGAAGAGCCTAACACAATTGTGTTGAAAGCACCCCAAATTTTCGCTACCTCTTTATGCTGTGTTTTGCTTAAGTAGCAGAAACGCGGATCGACAGCGTTCAGGAGTCGGAGTTGATAATGCGCTCTGGACCACCTTTGCAGCAGGTGAAAAGAATCGCCGCAGTCAGACTGGTTCTGAGCGGGAGCGGGACACTTCAGAAGATAATAGATTATCTAACCAACATATCAGCTTCTTGATTTTCAGTGAAAATGATAACAAAACGTACATTTTCCTTGTCCTGGAAAACGAGGTAACAGGAACCAATCATACTGTCACTGATCCAAAATACAGGCAAGGTATATTCAGTCCTGTTCAGTGTGTGATTCATAAATCGGACGGTGAAGGCGGCTTGCGTGAGCATACGACGAAGATCTCCTTTGTTGCTGTGAGAGTCGATATCACACAAAAATAGGGGTTCATAATTATAGAACAGAGCGCCGTCGGATACACTATGAACAATGTGGATTTGCGTCTTGTCTTGCGGGTTGGCGTGCAGCGTAGACAAAAAACCCATTTTGTGCGGCCAAGGTAAGGGGTGTCGCCTACGAATCTACGTCAATTTATCAAGCAGAATTTGTCAAGGCGTAAACTTACGACATATAGACCCCCTCCTCTGACTCGAACGCGCCTTTCGCCCAAGTGAGCAATGGGTTCAAGATCACATCAAAGACTCGGATCTCGGTTTTAACGTTGTCGGCGTACTCTGATAGGGAGCCAGAGGGGATCAACGCGCTGGGTTCGTCCATCTGGATACGCGCGAGCGCGCTCGGGTCCAATTTGGAATGGTCATGGACGGGGGCAGTGGTGGGGGAAGGAACCTGGTTGTCAGATAATGTCGAGGTGACAGTGGTGGGGGGAGGAGCCTGATTGTCTGGAGTTCTAATTCTGATAAATTCGTGCAACGGCAGCCCTAAGTCGGCGAACCCCTTATCAGCGTTATCCAAGGCCTAAAGTGTTAAGATATCAGTATACGATACATGAACCACCGCTTAACCACACACCGCTTGCGACCAATTTGACCACTCCCTTGGACTTTCAAGTTGTGATATTCTTGCCTCGACGAAGGCAGGCAATGACCCGTCCGTCCAAGCCAGCACCTTGTTTCTCGAAATGACAAAATCCGGATATTGACCTGCAGCGTCCAGGTGGAAAGCAAGCTTCAGGTAAGGATCAAGTGGTACACCGGCCAGCTCCTCGAACTTCGCATTGGACTCGCCCTTGCGGCGTTCAATACTGGCATTGTGAGACTCTGTCCAATGTTTTTTAAAATCTAAATAAATCTCCAATAAGAAATGAGGGCCTCATAGAATGAGAAAATATACGAACTTTTTCCAACCACACATAAAGCTGAGCGATTCTCGAAGATGGTAGACATTCGGAGGGTTACCTCTACGGGTAACATCTCTGGCGCCACAACAAAGGGCAATTTGACACTAGCAGAGTCGATTTCTACCGCAAAAGCAAAGTCATCGCTCGCCAAGTTATTCCTGGGGTTCTGCTGGTACCAGTCCTTGACAAGGAGGTTTTCATCTGCTTTCTGGCCGTGGTATGTATTCCAGGGGTTTCCACAATGGACATCGTCATGATTGTGAAAGGAATCGTAGTCGGGGTCGTAGACAAAGAAGAGGCAATTAACCTCATTCTCATCGGGCTTTGTTGGCCTCTTGTGACGACTCATTGCGATGATGGTATAAGGAGAGAAGAGTTGACATAAGCAGGCGGACTTGGGAGCCGCGGGCGCCAAAGAATTCTGTAAATGGAACCGGCTGGTTGTGGAAGGGTGGGCATGTGGAAACCTTACAGATATTTATTATACTGTAGGGAATGTATGGCGCTGTGGGGTAACGGTCAACCTTAGGCTTCAGAGTAAAGTTCATAGAGTTCTTTCAAGCCTAGCTGTGAGTTCGAATCTGGCCAGCGCCGTTCCGAAAATCGATAGAACTTTTGCCAGTTTTTGCCGGTTTTTTTTTCAGCTCTGCACGCAAAAGATTGGAAATTGCCTGGTCCTTACACTGCACATGCTGATGGAGCGTTCGGGGCCCGCCATCCTTCACGATGAGGTTGCACTAATTTGGTTATGTATTGAGGAGGGATTCAGAACTTCACAGATCGCGGATTATAACAAACGGAAACAATAGAAACGTCTACTGCATGCCAATTCATATTCATACAGATTCATACAATACAATTCATACAATCATATATACAATCATATTAAGATAGAGAATATAATTATACATAGCTTTAATGAATACAGTGCAATAGTACTCTCGTGTACAACGGATTAATGAGGAGTGGCGGGGAGAAGCAGAATATATCTTATTATTGTGAATCACGATTAATCACCGATGATGCTTTAGTCTTTGCCCTCTTGGATGCACGTTGCTCCTCAGCCACAGCACTGAGAACTGTATTAAAGGCGTTCCAGACCTTTGCCACTTTACTCTGCTTCTCGTGGTCAAGATAACGGGCCTGTGGATCGATAGCGTTCAAGAGTAAAAGTTGGTAGTGCGTTCTGGCCCGTTTGTTCATGAGGATGAAGGATTCTGGGCAATCGGTAAGATGTTGCTTTTCAGGGGTATCTGGACATTTCAACGTCGTATAGAAAGTCTGCCCAGCATTCAATCTCTCAATTCTCAGTGCAAACATATATCATACCTTTTTTTCGAACTCAAAAACAACATAACATTTCGCGTAAAGGTGTTTATCGATATAGAATGCTGGCAGCGTGTAGTCGGTTATTTGAAATGTTTCGTTGATAAAGCGAACCGTGAACGCTGCTTGTAGAACCATCCTTCTAAAATCTCGCTCCTGACTTGAAGAATCTATATCACAGAGGTAGAGGACTTCATGCCCGTTGAACATGGCGCCATCCGACTTTGAATGGCAGATCGCCAGTTGGCTCAGGTCAACTGGCTGTTGCGATAGCGTCGTAGAGATAAAACCCATTTTATGGGGCCATGGAGTTCTGTTCGATACTGTAAATGTCACGTCAATTTATCGAGCAGAATTTGTCAAGGCGGAAACTTACGAGGTCTGGATATCTTTCTCCATCTTAAACGCACTTTTTGCCCATTTGAGCGCCCCCGACTGGACAATATTAGCATAGACTTTTTCACATTAGTGATTGTTAGAGTGTTAGCAGGATACAACGCCGCTTGCTTCAAGGCTACGAGTCGTGGCGGAGCTGGCTGAGGATTCGTTGTAGGTGTTCGCTACGGCAGGGAGAGGAGACTCCTGCTCATGCGCGGCCAGAC